GCTCAACGCTGAGTCTGGACCTCGATCGTTTGCTGAGAGTCGCAGGGAAAGTCGACAAATAGATAGGTCGACGGCCACGTAGCCAGGCTACCGGGGTATCATTGCTGGGAGGTTCTCATCGAATAGGGAAGTTCAAGAAAGATGGCTAGCAATAATTATCACTGATCAAGGACAAGACTGAAGAAACGACAGATTACAGCTGGTCTTTGCGCATGCTTCACCATGCTGAGCCACGTTCCCAAGAGGTAGCCTGCACTCAAGGGGACCCCCCTAAGGTACCCGCAGAATAGGTACTAGTGCTGTCTGGGGAATGCTGCTGATATATCACGTGGGGATAAGATAAGGCTGCAGGTTATCTGCATGCATCGGTACGTAGATTCCTCAGGGTTGGGCAGGGAACTCCAAAGACGCGCTAACAAACCACTTAACGCGTCCGGGAAAAGGGGCGCGTTCTGTTGAATTTGGTTCCCCTGCGCAACCCAGAGCCCCTCCTTCCATCCACATTTGCAGTCTCAATCCTCAGCATCGCTTCGTGAACAACCACAACTCAGCTCCAAGCGCTACTATGGACAGACAATCAGTTTACTCATCGCACGTCTTCCCGGCGACGTTCGATCAGAACGATGACAGCAGGGTCCAGACCCAGACCCAGCTAGAGAACTTTATCCTCCACTTCAGACACGACAATGACTACATCTACAGGTCAGACCGACTGCTCCAGGGGTACCTTTTGGTTTCGTCGCATTGCTTACAATTTTGTACAGAAACCAAGTCAAGGAGAATGCGCTTCTCAAGAAGCACTACTGCGATGTCGATATCAGCGACCTCATTAACTACAATGAGGAGCTTGCGCATAGACTCGTAACAGAGCCCGCCGAAATCATTCCATTGGTTAGCCACCATCGTGCGATCCAACCTCTGGAAGTATACTGATTTGGCCGTCAACAGTTCGAGGCTGCCCTCAAGAAATGCACTCACCGCATCGTATACCCTCAACTGACGAAGGTCGACCTGCCGGAACACCAGCTTCTGCTCCACTCCAACGCCGAGGATGTGTCGATTCGCAACCTAGACTCCATGACAATTTCGCGCCTCGTTCGAGTGCCGGGCATTGTCATTGGTGCCTCTGTAATGTCCTCCAAAGCCACGGCGCTGTCTATTCAATGCCGGAACTGCGCCCATACTGCGAACCTGCCTGTCCTCGGAGGATTCACTGGCGTCACCCTCCCAAGGCAGTGCGGCAGACAAAGAATACCCAACGACCCCACACCGAAATGCCCTCTCGATCCATACTTCGTTTCACACGAGAAGTCAAAGTTCGTCGACCAGCAGATCATCAAACTACAAGAGGCCCCGGACCAGGTTCCTGTCGGAGAACTCCCGAGACATGTCCTGATTTCAGCAGATCGCTACCTGACCAACCGCGTCGTCCCCGGTTCGAGATGTACGGTCATGGGCATCTTTTCCATCTACCAGAACAAGGCAACCAAGAACTCAAACACTGGTGGCGCGGTGGCTATCCGTACGCCATACCTGCGGGCAGTAGGCATTCAGACAGACATGGACCAGACCGCAAGAGGCCAGTCCCTCTTCTCTGACGAGGAAGAGCAAGAGTTCCTCGAGATGAGCAGACGGCCCGACCTGTACAACATTATGGCAGACTGCATAGCGCCATCTATCTACGGCAACGTAGATATCAAAAAGGCTATTCTGTGTCTGCTTCTGGGCGGCTCGAAGAAGATTCTGCCCGACGGCATGAAACTCCGTGGAGACATCAACGTTCTGCTACTTGGTGATCCCGGTACCGCCAAGTCACAACTTTTGAAGTTTGTGGAGAAGTGTGCGCCAATTGCCATTTACACATCCGGAAAGGGCTCTTCAGCAGCTGGTCTCACAGCCTCGGTGCAGCGTGATTCCTCAACTCGCGAGTTCTACCTCGAGGGAGGTGCTATGGTCTTGGCCGATGGCGGTGTTGTCTGTATCGATGAGTTCGACAAGATGCGCGATGAGGATCGTGTGGCTATCCACGAGGCCATGGAACAGCAGACAATCTCGATCGCCAAGGCCGGTATCACTACAATTCTCAACGCAAGAACTTCAGTGCTAGCTGCGGCCAACCCGATCTTCGGTCGTTACGATGACATGAAGACTCCTGGCGAAAACATTGACTTCCAGACCACCATCTTGTCAAGATTCGACATGATCTTCATCGTCAAGGACGAACACACGAGAGAAAAGGACGAGAGAATAGCAAGGCACGTCATGGGCATCCACATGGGTGGCCGAGGCGTCGAGGAACAGGTTGAGTCTGAGATCTCAGTTGACAAGATGAAGAGGTATCTCAGCTATTGCAAGTCGTAAGTGTCGTCCATCGTCATACCTACTGAAGCCATACTAACAACAGATTCTAGACGCATGGCCCCTCGTCTTAGTCCCGAGGCAGCTGAGAAGCTCTCGTCCCACTTCGTTTCCATCCGCAGACAGGTTCACGCGGCCGAGATGGAAGCCAACACAAGGTCTTCTATCCCTATCACAGTTCGTCAACTTGAGGCTATTGTTCGTATTACCGAGTCATTGGCCAAGTTGACGCTGTCTCCTATTGCAACGGAGGAACACGTAGACGAGGCCATCAGACTGTTCTTGTGTTCCACGATGGATGCCGTCAACCAGGGCAGCAACCAGGGCAGCAAGGAGCTCAACGAGGAAGTCAGTAGATTAGAGACAGAACTCAAGCGTCGTCTCGCTGTTGGATGGGGTACGAGTCTCGCGAGTCTGCGGCGTGAAATGGTCGAACAAAAGGGGTACAGCGAGCAGGCCCTCAACAGGACGCTGATGATTATGCAGAGGAGGGATACAATCATGTTCCGGAACCAGGGCGCGCAGGTGTACAGGAACGCAATTTGAGGTCGGCAATGATTCATGGACTGCTTTTAGTACTCCGCGTCACTGCGGTAGATGGGTTGAGGGATACGGCGGCAGCACTCTGCATATGAAAGAAATGATAGTACCAAGCCTTTGTAACGGGACATGATTTGGGAGTCTTGAAATGTAACCTGTTGGGAAACAAATGCAAGTGCAGCACCAGTGTGATATGTCATCTTTGATTGCCTAGCAAACCTAGCTACTGACCCACGATCAGGGTTCACCCACCTCTCCCCAAGCCTACCAGCTTCGTGGAAGATAAAGTCACGGACTGCATTCTAGTCTCCAGAACAGATGCCTTGGTAGAGTGCTTTTGTTGGAACACTGTGTGGACCTGGATGACGGGAAAACTGTTAGCCGCATGAGCTGGAAGATTCCGCGCGCTTCCAAAAGTTGTGCTAACAGAGCGATTCAGATATGCCAGTTTTCCGCAGGCCCAACCCGGTCGAGTGCATTGGCCGAAGCCGCCGCACTCGCGGCTGCGCAATCGGTTTACCAGATGCATGAGTGTCATCCGTATCTCTTCATTTTGACGTGATCTTCTATGTATTGCGTACCTTTGGACGTTGAAGGAGTCACGTTCGTGACCAGACGCGTGGCGCTTCTCTCTATATGAAGCTCTGCCACAAGCGTGCCACGAGCGGGGACATCACATCACATATATCAGTATGGTACTCCGTAGAGATAGAGCCTCAAATAGAGGGCATGTCCCTTGCATCAGGTGATCATCGCATCATGGGAAGCCGCACGAGGGGCCCTCGCAGACGATTGTTTTTAACAAGGTGAGAGTTCATCTCGACTCATCCTCAGGAATCGTCCAGCAGCGTAGAAGGCGATGTGAAATCGTTGCAGGCTGGCGATGATTTGATTAAGGTGGTCTTGGTTTGTGAAGAGAAGAAGGAAAGCAGTTGGCTGCTCGCGGCTCTCGAGCTTTAAAAATTGCAGAGCCTGCCCGGCCCGTTCTGCGTGGTGGGGCTGAACCACCACGTGACTCTGAAGCGTCGTGGTTTGGGGTGTGGCACGGTACCTTATGGTTACCTTGAGGCTTGCGAGTCTTGGGATTGTTACTTTTGGCACCTACGTCTGCTTATGTAAGATGTCGCCTACGCTGGTCAGGCTGGTCAGGTACTCTGCCTGCCGGTTGCCTGATCCGGCCACGCCCCTCCCATGGTGAATGCGTGCCAGCGTGGTGCAACCTCAACTCCAAAGAGTCCAGCCGTCAGGGCCCGGTGATCGGGTGTCGGGTGTCGGGTGTCGGAGCACGGTGGCCATGGTTTCCTGGACGATTCACTGGTGGAGGGGGGCCTTGCTTTGGCTCCGGTCCCAGAAACAGCAGACTCTCACCCCCCCCTGGTTGTGTCAGTCTCACTCCCTCCACTCCCCCAATCTCTCGCTCTCTCTCCCAGATTCTCCCACTTCCGCGGCAAACCATTCCTCACTCCCTCTTCCGCCGCCGTCGGGACCGTAGGTAGTGACACCCTCCCACACCCCCTCCCCCATCTTCCCTCCCTCCCGCCCTCTGAACCTAACCGGCCCAGGCTTACCTCACCCTCACCTTACCGTAGAGGTACCTAGCCGGCCCAGTGTCTTTGCCAGTGCCAGCCAGCGCAGCCCACAGCCCAGCTAGTCCCAGCACCGTACCAGCCCAGGCGGCCACCCCCGTTAAGCGAGCAAATTGCCTCGCTCATGTGTCCGCCCCCTTCACTCTTACGCTGCGCCATTCAGACTTCACTTCTACCAACTCCACCACGACCTGACGGCTTGACCACGGCACAAATCGACCACCGACAGCACTCTATCGCCGTCGGATTACTTTCGCTACGAGTGTATTTGCTGGATATCGTCATCAGGAAAAATTTTAACACCCACGACAAGGCGCCGACGTTCCACGAGGAAGCCGAGAGTGGTGCATGACGCTGCATCGGGGGATTGAGAGCCGTCGGCGGTTTGGCGCGACTCGCCACAACAACCCCCTCATCCTCTGATCTCGCCCAGAGCGAACATTCCTATCGAGCGCATCGTGGAATCCGGTTGAAAGGGATCTTGAAAGGCGGTTTCAAGAAGAGAAAGTGATTTTTTTCTTCGCGCCTTCCGATTCGGAGACGTTGTGACAGCACCCGCCAATCCTTCGTCCGCTTCGACTTCCTCACCCTCACCGATCCACGGCAATCTCGACCACGACGCCCGCGGCGACGAAGAGACGATTCAGCCTTCCTGCCACTGGCGAAGTCAACATGTCGTTCCACCCTCGAACCCCTCAAAGCCCTTCTCAGTTTTCTCCGGCAACTTCCGATCTCACATCAAGCATGAACAGCTCGGCCCCGTCCACAGCCACAACTCTGCCGACACCCGCCCACAGCGTCAACGGCAGCGCATCGCAACCCTCCGATATGTCGCAGGACATCGTCATGGGCGATGACTCGCCCCATAAACGCAAGCGCCCACTCGAGGATTTGGGTGATCGAGATCAGAAGAAAGCCCACATCGAGGATAGCAAAACTGGTATCGAGGCACTCCACCTGGATGTCGGAGAGAAATACCTACTTTGCCAAACTCGTAAGGCTCCCTTCACAGTCCCCTGTTTCCGTGGCAGGCTGTCTTGCCATCTTCCCTCCCCTACGGCCTATCTAGTATTTTGAGCCGGTTCATTGTCGGACATATTTGGTTAACACTGAGCTAAATAGCACACCACGAGAGACTGCCGCGTATCACGGAAGACCTCTTCGAGATGTTCAACCTTTCGGGTATCGCTGCAGAAGTCGCTCGCGAAAAGCCCAATGGTGAGAAGAACGCTCTACGGAAGACGTACAAGGGTCAAATCAAGAAACTCGGAATTCTCGGCCGCTTTGACTCCGTCGCCCAGGACTGGGATGCTCCGAGAGAAAAGGACGGCGAGAGCGGCGACAAGAAGATGGAGGTGTACCATGGCTTCCGGGAATTGCTGGAGATTCCCGATGCCGAGTACTGGGGCACGCGGAACGACCCTATCACCAGTGGTCTGTCTGGTACGGTCAAGTCGATGCTCAACCGAGCAACAACTATGGCCAAGGGTCCTCTTCCCGTCAAGGATTGGGACAGCTCAGTTCTAGGAGACCTTACCCCGGGCAGCATGGAAGCCTTGAGACAGGGTCTCGGTGGCAAGGTGACAGCCCCAGGTACGCCTTCCGCAACCACACCCAACCCCTTTGCGCGGAAGCAGCAACAGGGGCCTCAGGGGGCTGTCCGTCCTCAAAGGACAACCAAGAAGCGCGGCTACGGCGATAACAGTTTCGAGGGGTATGGCGAAGGCTTCCCTGACGACGGCTACTCTACGGGAGATGGCGACGATAGGGGAGGCCAGAAGCGTCGTAAGAAGGTTAGTAATGTTGCATTCATACAGTGCTTAGCTGATCTAACTCCCCACAATAGGACAACGGCAACGGCCAGACATTCCCGAACACGATGCGTCCGCAAGGCTACGGATCCAGCGCCGTGGGTGCTTAGAAGCCACCTCCGGCGACCAAGGTCGGCAAACGACGAGTCGCTCGCAAAAAGGGCTAAGCCCAAACAATCCCTTCATCTTATATCCACGACTGGCCGTCGTGTTGGATATCGCGGGTCTGCAAGCACGTTGCTGCCGGCACCGAAGTTTTGGGTTGCGGATCAGATCTATGCCCGTTCAATGGCCACGAGGCAGCCTCACAGGAAGATTGAGAGCCAGCGGTCGACGACGCAGCAACACGCGCGCTTCAGAAGAAGTACCGCTTCGAGGGTTACGGGGGACGACGGTGGTTGGACGGGGGCATATCTGTCCCTTTTGATGAATTATTCCACTTCCAGCAGGGCGTTCAGGGGGATCAACTTACTTGTTAACTTTTTTATTCTTTTTTGCTTTTCTCGCTTTTCTAACGCACTCAGTCGAGGTTGGGCAAACGAGAAAAAAACACATGACCGACTGAAAGAAGGGATGGGGGAAAAAATACCACGCGGCTTCACAATGGGGAGAAGGAGGCGAGGGAGGTCATTTCTACAGGCTGCTACGAAAGGGGACGGGATCATTTTACCACGAACCACGACCACACCAACCAAAACCATCATCACACATCACCACCATCACCACCACCACCACCGGACACTTTAAGAAAAAAAATCATTTCTCCCCCCCACACACAGAGGCAAAGGGGGACTTTTAAGGCTGGGTCGTTGTAGCACTAACACAAACAAAACAACAAATAATTCCAATAGAAGGCATGAAGAAGCCTCTACACACAAACACACTAGATATTGTATCAAATCGTGATTCGCCTATGCTTTCTTATTCTTCAGGGCTGTCAAACACCCCTTTTAATTGACCATGTTCACTGAGAGTGAGACTTTGTCTCTGTTGTTTCCTTTCCCTTGGGTGGTCTACCGCTATCACTTCCAGACAGTCCTGCTGCCTGATACGCTTCCTATGCTCATGTACCCAAATTACAACTTGAGGATATATAACAAAGGTAAGGGGGTTCCAAATCCTCCCCCAGGATCAAGATGTACATCAAGGCATCTCCATTATCGCCCTGACGCTCATGTCATCCTGGACCCACGCCACGATGCGCTCCCCGACGTCGCCAATGAGCGTGTCGTAGTGCGGGCCGGGGAGGAATAAGCCGCAGTGGGCGCCGACCTCGTCCATGCCCTCCATGTACACCGACACCCACGTCTCGTCGCGTTTGCCGTTCTTCTTGCCGGGGAGGGTGCAGAATTTGCGTTCCTTTTTGGGTTTGTCTGGTTTGGCGGTGGATTTGGCATTGGATTTGGAGTTGGAGCTGGAGTGTGCGGCAACGGCCTTGGGGCGGCTTGTGGTTGTGTCGTTGGTGGCTTCTCCCGTCTGGGTCGTGTTAACGGACGCCGCGGACGAAGATGGTGCGGCGACAGCGGGCGGCCGGTCTTTTGCTGCCCCCGCCGCAGTAGCTACCGTTTCCGGCGCAGCGGCCGCGGCCCCGGCAATGACCATCGCCGCCATCTCGGCCTCGACCTTCTCAGACTTCTTCTTCTCATCATCATCATCATCATCACCCTCGGCGTCACTATCGATCGGCTCCCCGCGTAACCTCCTCCCCTCCCTCCCCATCCTCTTCGCCTCCTCCGCGAGCCTCCGCGCCTCCTTCTGATCGTGCGTCTCCTCAGCCGCCTCTTTTCGAGCCGCTTCCTCTTCCTGCTGCCGCCGTTTCTGTTCTTCCTTCTGCTGCTTCAGCCCCTCCTTTTCTATTCTCTGCGCCTCTTTGGCGGCCTCCTTTTCCACCTTTTTGCGGCGCTTCTCGACGAGCTTCTGGCGCTCCTTGATGGCTTTATCGCGACTCTTGACGGCGGACTCGTACGCCTTTTGCGCGCGCTTACCTTCCTTCTCTGCTTGTTTCCGGGCATCCTTATCCGTGTACCTATCTAGATCCGGAGGCGTCGGCTGTTCGGGGAGGTCGGGGATGGGCGGTAGTTCTGCTTCGGATATGATGTCTCCCATGGGCGGCGCCGTGCCAGGCTCAGGGCTTTCCCCCTCAGCGACCGCCGTGGCTGAAGCAGAAGCTGCTGGCCCGGCTTCGACACCGGCTTCGACACCGGCTTCGGCGTCGGTACTGGGCGTCTCGTGTGAGTCGACATCGCCTTCCTTCCCCTTGCCCTTGGATTCTCGCACTTCCTTGTCACGTGCGTCGGTCGAGTGCAAGCCTGTCTTGGTATCGTGGTCAAACCGTGCCTGCTGTTCCTCGTGGAGCGTGGAAAGCCGTTCATCAATGTCCTCCATCGGTATCGGCTCGAGCAGTTCCATCTCCTGGCCGTCGTCAGACGACAGAGAGATCCTGGGCGTCGACGAAGACGGCGGAGAGAGATGAGAGCCGACCTGTGACGTACTCGGAGCCGCGCGGTGCTCGGGGGACGTAGGTGACTCTGGAGACTTGGGCGAGTCTGGCGTCTTTGGCTTCTTGGGTCGGCCGGAGCTGAGAGTGTAGTAATTGATGAAGCGGACTCTGACCGGCGTCGGTCTGTTGACGTTGTTGCCGTAGTTGTTGCCGTCACCCATGTGCTGCAACGGATCGACGCTCTCCATGGCGCGGAGCTTGTTGTATCGGGCGTTTAGACCTGGATAATCCGCCAAGCAGCCGCCGTATTCGAGATGAGACATGACGTGGTTCTTGGTGGCGTCCCAGATGCCCTCGCGGCTGTGCTTCTTTGCAAAGTGGCCCAGCCGCCTCATGAAGGTACGATCTTTGAGGTTCACGTCATTGAAGAAGGATGGGTTGAAGGTTGGATCCGGCCGTTGCGGCGCATTGCTCGAGGACATTGATGGCGTGTTGCTCGGATGAGGTGAAAGGTCCGCACCCAGTGAGCTCGTCGTCTCCAGGGTGTACATGGACGGGTTGGGACTGGTCAGGGCCGAGTTGGTAGGGCTCAGCTGGTTGAGAGCCTCGTGCTCTGGCTTTTCCCCTGTTGGTGAGGCCGGTCTGAATAGGCTGGAGATGCCAGCGACAATGATGCCTGGGTGAAGTCCCAGGAACGGCGAATCCAGCGAAATGGTGCCGAGGATGCGATGCTTGTACGGGTACCGACGATAAGGGTGCCGGTTGGGCTAAAGAACATGTCAGTCAAGTCGTTCATCGACCTCTTGTGTGTTTGTGAAAGTCATACCATCATGGCAACCTCGGCCGCGAGCAAGCCTCCCATGGAGTGTCCGACGAGGATAACATCAGTCGAGTCAGACTCGTGCGGCTCCAGCCACTGGCTAAAGTTATCGCGAGCCACATCGATGGCCTTGTACGTCTTGTAGCGGGGGTAGATCTTGGAGTGAACGACGTGTGTCTCGGTGAGGGCGTCCTTGAGGTGGTTGTGGACATGAGCGGGGAACGATCGAAAGGACGACTCGTTGCCGTAGAAGCCGTGGATGTAGATGACGAGCAGGGTCCGGCGGGTGACACCGTCGCGGTCCTTTGTGGACGGGGCAAGCGAGTGAGCCGAGGAGGACCTAGGATCGGCCAGGCGCCACTTGGAGTCCACGATGCCGAGACCGTCGACGGCAGAGGAGGAAGAAGGGTAGCCCGAGGGATAGCCCGAGGACGGACCGGCGGCGGCGGCGGTTGTGGGTGGGGGCGGGAACTGGGACGAGGACGTGGAGCCAAAGTGACCGGAGCCGGAGGCGGATGCGGTCACGGAGTAGGGCGGCGGTGGTGCGGACGAGGACGAGGGTCCGTCGTAGGCGTAACCGGACATGACGTCAGGTTTTGGGCAAAGCCCAGAGGTGTGTACGATGTAGAGGTTTAAAAAGCGCTGTGCTGTATCTGTACTACTGTCTGTGTATGTAGACAGGAGTGACTCTCGAGAGGAGGGGGGGCAGGGGGCCTAAAGCTTAGGGAGGGGTAAAAAAGGAAGGGCGACCACGACGAAGAATGTTTTAGGGATGAAAGCTCCAGGTGTGTGTACGGATAAGGTAGGTAGGTGTGTTGCGGTACGGAAGAAAGAGGGATTGGAGTCGGATGTCCAGATATAACACAGAAGGCCAAAGACCCGTCACCGCCAACGGGTATTGATGAGGAGGAGGAGACCGTGGGCTATTTCATTGACAAATTTTCCTTGGTTGAGGTGCTTGATGCAAGAGTCTGGCCCAGGCGCGCGTTTGGTCCTTGATGAGTGTAGCTTTGCGGTGCCGTGGTAGGTCGATGTAGACACCTCACCTACCTACATTACTGGACTCTGTACCAAGGTAGAGAGGTAAGGTAGGGATCCAGCTGTGGGATGACTGTTGGAGAGTGGAGGTACCCGCGTGGTGCGGTGCCGTACAGAATACGCGGGAAAGCCAGACTCGGGTACTTGGCCCCTCCTACCTTCCCTTATCCGTACCTAAACCTTTACCTTGATACGAATTACCTTTTGGTGAGAAGCCTCATTGCGCCGCTGCTGCGCCCAGTTTTCCAGGTGGACAGGTACCCCGACTACCTTATTAGCAAAAGAAGCCAAGCACCCGACGGCAAGATGGCATCTCAATCACGTCCCGTCGGAGAAAGAACCAGTCGAGCCACCACTGCCACTCTGCGCTAAGCCCGTATCAGACTATCAGACTATCAGACAATCAGACAATCAGACAATTACCTCAGCCTCAGACGGGTATTGGGCTTCAGCCACCCACGGTTAAAGATGCCGGAGCCACAGCCCACAAACCAAGTTTGGGCAAGTAGAAATGACGACATTGTCCTCTGCCCATCCCGCAACCTCGAAACAAAGCAGTCGTAACCTCCTTGGCGAACCACTTTCCCACTTCCTCCCGCGCATTGCGGTCCTCGGGTCTTCGGATCCGATGCGGGCAGTCTCCGCGCCATTCGCGGTTTCGTCGCGAGCTACGGATAGCCTAACCACGAACACATTCGATTTCACACACACACAGAGAGAGAGAGAGAGAGAGGGGTCTAGGACTCTAGAGTAGCTTACAAGCAACATAGCCATCATCCATGTACTAACACTCACTGTTGGGCCTGAGTCAGCCGCGCGTGACAACTCGCGACTAATTACTATGCACGTAGACTTGAATCGCGACATTGGTGGCATCGGGGGGCGCAGGGCTCAAATGAGCCAAGTCGGAAGTTAATGGCCGCGCCTGATTCACTGATTCACTGATTCACTGACTACCCCATAACTCACTCACTGAGCACACATTGTAAGCTTCAAGGCAAATATCGAAAGAGAGCCTTTTGGGCTATGCGAGACAGTCGTTCGGCTCGAGGCATCGGGAATGCTCTCCTCTTCAGCTCAAGAACCTCAGACGGCCTCTTCAAAGCTCATCTAACTAGGCACGATGCGCAAGGAACCACAGCAGCATTGCGTATGTATGTCTTGCAAAGTACGCCAAGCCGGACCTCAACAGCCACAATACTCGCCCAGAGATTCAAAGATTTGAGAGACTGTTAAAGAAAAATTGTACGTTTCCACTGTTCCATGACACAAAAACAGGACCACCCTTGAGGTCTTTACCTTCCAAACTCCTCAATACAACGCTGCGCGAACTCTATCTGTGCTTCAATGACAGTATGACTCGAATGGCTGGCTGCGAAGAAGTTTAATACTCGGCAGTGTGCAATAGCAAGTTAGCAACAAACCAGCAACAATCAAATCGAGCCTTGCACCCGTGCACATTTGCAGAACAACCAACTCTTGCCAATCAACATCCTTCATGGCGCAGACCATGGTGTTTGATTTCGATATCCCGTGTTGCTTGGCAGTCTGTCAACCACCCTTGAAGGTGGTCCCTCTAAAAATCAAGTTGGCTGAGAGAAAATCCTCGTTCTCAGATGAACGTCCCATCCGTCCTGTTGCGGTCATTTTCCTCGATTCGGGGGCCGAGGGAAGGGGCAAGGGTCGCAGGGCATATGGCCATGGGTGATGGATAGTGGGGGCCATTTGGGAGATTACACAGATTAGATTGGAGACTCCATCATCGCTCTTCTCCGTTGCAACCGTCGCCCACTTCCAAAACTTTGTTGAAGAAGCCTCGAGTGGGTTTGATCGAGGGTTTGTTATTGTCCGTTTCTGGTTGATCTGCCATTCTGCGACCTGCCGGATACGGATATCCGTTCAAAGGAGAAAGAAAGAAAATTAAAACGGCGCCCGGCAGTTGATAGACATGGTTGAGCGGCGCCAGTTCCCTCATCTTCAGGTGGACGTTCGTCCGTCGGGACGACGGGGCCCAAGGTTTCTAGAAGGATGGGTCTAGAACGAGACAACAAGAGAGAACAGACTGCAGACGGGTAATCCAGATATCGTGCGTTCTGGCCCATGGTTACGGCCACTTCTACGCTAAGCTGGTGGTAGTTTCGCAGAACCCCGTGCGGTCCATCCAAGAGCAGACATGAAGAATTCGATGCGAGCTATAAGAATGGTAGTTGCCCGTCGTCGTCTCGGGAACGCGCCCAGATGAAAAACCCGCCGGGATGGTAATGAACGTGCTCCCTTAGACCTCTTGTTGTCTCGCGCACTTTTTCGACTCTGTTCCTGTGGTACGGATACTGTGGTAGACTGTTACCCCCGTTTGCGCTGCACAACATCTGCACAGCAGTCTTAGCCAAACCATCGACAGCACCCCCAGGCTCTCGACATTCGACATGCCAAGAATTGCAAGCCCTTCTCTCTCGTTGAACTCCACTTTACGCCCGTCGGGGAGGGGGTCAGTTCAAGGGAGGATTACGTACAGCCGTGGAGACCTTGTCATTCCAATGCCGTGCTTGGTCTTGGATGACGCCGTGGTTCGAGTGACAATGTGCTTGGTGCAAAAACGTACGAATGCTGGAAGAACGCTCGCTGCGCTGTCGTATGAGAAAGCACTTTCGACGGTCCCAGAATTCAGAGAGCCTCCTGAGACGCGCTAAACCGTCTCATACAATCGTTCAACTTGCCAAACCAAACCTATATGATAACGCATAAGTTATGACCTCCAAACGGGGAAGAAGCCGAACACCTAAAGTCTGGGTAATTCGTACCTGGGGCGCCAGTAAAAGACTCCATTGTCAGTGAGGCTGTGAAAGAGCAGGTTCCGTCACGCCGAGAGATATAACGGGGCAAGGGAAAGGGGCATCAACAGAGACGGGGGGTCCAGGTTACCCCAGTGTTTGTTTCGATGGAAACGAAATTCGTCCCATGATCGCCGAGCCTCGCCAAGCTTCCAACACAGAGAGACACGGGCGACAGAGCAGGCTTGCGGCTTGCCGTGCACTAGGAGAAAACCAGATCGAAGCCCCCTCCCATCTCAACGGCATGTGGGTGCTCGACTTTTGTTAGCCACCCGCTTCTAGAACCCATCACTGTAGAATTACCCGTAGACATCTCTGTAGACGTTAGTCAAAGTTGAGCGAGTCTGAAAACCGTCTTCCCCCGGTTGATTCGGCATACGGGATACAATTGTTCCCCGGTGGCTCTCTCTTTTGAGTCCTTTGCTACCTCGCCAGGCTCACCTTGCTGGATTTGAGGGGAATCCTTGGTTAGGTCGCATACACAGCAGCCAATATTCATTTCGTGTAGGTGCTGATGCGGGTATGTGCTCTGCCATTGTTTCTCTGCGTTCGGCGTTCGCTGTGCCTTTGCATGCCCTCCCCTCGCCCAAAACACCTTTCGATATTATGCGTTTGGAGGATGGAGAGGGGCTAATCCGTCCCGTCCGTCTCGTCCGCACGTTTCGTTTGGTTCTTCGCCCGGGGGCCGGCCATGGTAGCGAAACTTGAAAGTGTAACCGCCCCACGAACTCCATGAAGGGCCCCCAAGAATTGGAGCCCAGGCCAGGGGTCCAGATGCAGATGCAGGTACCGCGCACTGTATGCCGTATCCGTGCGGCCACAAGGAGAAACAACAACATCATATGCGGCTTATGGAAGACTCTATTCAGAAGCGATCGTGGATGAGGAAAAGCGAGCGGTTGCGAGGATTCGTAAACTTTGGTTCCTCCATGATGAATACGAGATAGGGGGTATCTGTGGTACGAGGTGAGGAAAAGCCAGGGAACGCCACGAAGCTTCCCCCAACGGAGCCGCCCAACGGATTGCGAATGATTTGAATACAGGTCAGAAGCAGCGAACAAGTCGGCACAACCCTCGGGGGAGTGAAGAGTACTGGTAAGGTAGGTAGGCGGCTCGCAGATAGTATGGCGAGACTGGAGATTTCAATGGTGGTTACACAGGTTGATTCTGGCGCATGCCTCCTCGATATTTGTGCGTGGACAAACTTTTTGGTCGCATTCTCGAATCGCATTTTCGCTTGTATTTTATTTTTTTCTTAATTTCTTTTCTCGCGTTCTCCAATATGGTTGGCTCGTTGTGCGCCGCCTATCGATGATGGACTTGAAGCCTCAAAGACTTTGTGCTAGAGGCTATGACAAGTGTTGACTGCTGAAATGTTGGCATCGGTTTAGCTGTGGTTGTGGCCGTAGCTGAGCGACGACGACACACAAGAAGTTGAAATAGTGGAGTCCGTAGTAAGTACGGAGTACTGGCCTGTGTCGTCGTCAGTTGTCCCATTTTATTTCTGGATATTGTTATTCCATTGGGATTCCATTCTCCAAAATGCAGCTGCAGAGCCGTTGACCCTCCTGATGTATCCGTAGGTATCGGTTTGGGGAAGGTGGCCGATCCTTCGTGGACCTCTGTCTTTAGCGTCAAGATGCCTCGTCATTGTTGGTATCCGTAGCTTGCGTAGATACATTAGTCTCGTAAGATAGCGTATCCGTACCCGGGAGACATATGGATGTCCGGTCTGGACCTTTCTGGACTCTGGCGTGTCTGGCTGGCAGTTGGTCAAGCGGGTTGCGCTGCGTGCGCCGCCATGATCTCGTGGGCGAAACCAACGGCGTCAATGGAAAGCGCAGAACCGTGGGCGTCGAATTGCTCAGGGACACGGACCTTGTAGCCAAATAAAGGCTTTTTTGGAAGGGAAAACGAGACACATTCGTGGGACTCACACAGGCCATTCTTTTCTTGGACCTCGTGTATCGTGTCTCGTGTGTCTTGTAGGTATTTTGGACGCGGTGCCTTAGTCAGACTCCTTTGGTCCTCTTGTGCCTCTTTCGTCCCATGCATCATCTCATTTCATCTCATCCCCGACGGATGGTGGGTGTGTGCTTGTTGCTGTCACCTCTGATTTGATCGGCGGGATGTTTCTCGTTTTCTTTTCTTCTGTGTATTCCTCATGCCACCGATGGGCCTGTGCTTTGGCAACGTTGTTCCGTCTCCCTCGTCTGTCTGCCTGCCGTAACGTCGTTAGCATTTGGCCTTCCATCCAAAGGCAATTGGCAATGTGCAGTCACTGCAGTAAGAGGTATGATTGGACATGAAGGTTGCGCTGAATGACACGCCGTGTGTTGACTGGCGTACTGTGCGGACCTTGATGTGACAGGCACCAAATGTGAAGAGTCTGAGTGCGTGAGAGAGGAACAAGAAAAAAAAGGACAGGACGCCATGGCGATGGGGTGCATGTTCCCTGTCCCCTGTCCCTGCCCCCATGGTGCCCGTTCCTGGTCGGCCCATCGCTGGTGGAGATGGGGGTCCACTGCCAACTGGGGGCACTGAGAGAAGGGGGGGGGGGGGGGCCGCTCCCCGTGATAGTGGACAGTGGAACTGCTCACTGCAACTTTGGCGATGTCTGGTTGGCCAATGGGACGCGGTGTCCTCCAACTAGCAGCCACTCGCCAACATCAAGCGAGATTATCGAAATCTTCCCACCTGCGAGTGACTGCAATCTGCTGCGCGTGTGTGGTGTGTGTGCCAGTCCAGTCCCGTCCTGCCAGTCCAACTGCAGTGCGTTCTGTCCCAATGTCAATGTGCCAATGTCCTACGGAAAGTGCGCCAGTGTGGTATCCCATCCCTTCCCTTCCCAAGCATAGGTACTCCGTAAGCAAGGTGGTTCAAGGGCCCCCCCAGGGCAAGAACACGTCGAAGCGCTCAACTTTGTCCGAAGAGGTGTGACTTTCCACTTGACTGGACCTGCGTTGTTTCCCTTTCCATATTGCATGTTATTACACTCCCGGCCTACGATCGATCCATTGCCTATTATTATCGTCGTGCCTGCTCACTCCACTCCCCTTCCCCCCATCCAGGGCGTCCATCTGTCTCTACTCTTCTTCTTCTACTCCTCCTCCTCCTACTCCTACTCCTCCCGCTTCTCTTCGCCTTCTGCCAACTACACACGCTTACGCCGCCATGCCATCGTCCTGATCCATCGGCCATGAGAACTGGCGGATGCAAGGGAGACAAAGGATCTCGAACACGAACAACGAGAAACGGCTGACACGAACTGTCCACGGTCCCTTCCTATTGTTGGTTTTTTAATCCTTTCCGAGGCACCGCACTTTGCGCACACTCGACTTCCAGAGGAAAATCAGAAAGAGTCTAGGGAGAAGAAAACGACCATCTGTTGATTCGGAACGAGGGGAAAATCGTATTCGTGCGGCCCGTTGCAGGACACCACCACCACCACTTCCACAACCACCAACCACCAGACGATAGTACCATTCATCGACACATGGCCATGAGGATGCCAAGAATGGAACTCGAATAGATCGACAATTCCCATCCAAACACAAACCACACACACACACACACACACACACACACTCGCTTACTTACCCGGTGATCCAACACCAGTCACTCGTTTACCTTGTTCTATCTTTATTCCCGTTCCCGCCCTTGGGACACGCCGCCTTGCAATTCGCCTCCCCCAGTTTACCAAAAAAGACAACCAACCACACAACGGTCGGGGCAAAAGCTCAGCCTACTTGGCCCAACGCCACCCCATCGACGCCATGACTAAATCACTGCGCGGGTCTTCACTCCCTCAGGCCCGCTCATACCATCACAATCATTACCATTTACACAACCAACGTGCAGCCACTCCCGAGAATGCTCATCGCCAACTCGACGACACCGACGCCGACCCCAGCCCGACGACTCCCAGCCCCGACGCCGCCACCTCGTCGAGCGCCGCCGCACCGAGAATCGTTGTCCAGACCGTCTCCCTCATTCAAATAGTCGATGCCACCGGCTCCCCTATCCAGGTCCAGACTATCTTCCCGACTACCGCCACCGTGGATGCTTCATCGACCACCAGTGCCGCCCTTGACTTGTCAATTGCCGCGGTACCATCTTCAACTTCGTCCACTGAAACAACCTCCTCTTCGTCGTCTTCTAGCACGACGAATGACTCGGTGCTGTCGACACCGGCGCCCACGACATCGTCGTCCACCGACTCTTCCACCAGTCAAGATATCTCCTTGACGTCCGATCCTTTATCGACTCCAGCACCTTCAGAAGCTGCGCCGTCACTCTACCCTACGTTGAGTGGCCAGTCAAACTCAACAATTTGTGCGCCGCCTTCCCCTTTGTCGTGTGTCCCAGACCGAAGCAACTGACCCAATATGTAGCATTCCTTACTTCAACAAACTCTTCTTCATCCTCAGTCTCTACCACAACCAGTTTATCTAGCCAGCTTTCGTCTGGCACAACAAGCGTTACTGATTCAATACTTTCATCGCTCTCATCGACGACATGGGGCTCCAACTCGGGTTCGACTGCAACTTCGACATGGGCATCGACGTCGACTTCGGGTTCTAGCAGATTGAGCACATCTACCTTTACCACGAGCGCCTCGCAATCGCCCTCGAGTGACTCGACAGCTTCCGGAGGTGGGACCGCCGGTGGAATCGGCGGCGGCGGCGGCGGCGGCGCGGCAGGGACGGCAGCGCCCACTTCGACCTCCACCTCGGATGATTCTAGCGGCAGTGGCTCGCCAACGCCAACGGGGACCGTCGTCGGAAGCGTCGTTGGAAGCTTGGCTGGAGCGGCTTTCCTTGTGGTGCTGGTATTCCTCGCCCTTCGGTGGAGAAAGCGTTCCGGTGGACGGTTCCGCCTAAGCGAGGCCAGCGCCGGCAAACGAGGCATCCTCACCGGTTCTGGTGGCCCACCCGGTGGCAACAGCGGCGGAATGGTTCAACGGTCGTTATCATTTGATCCCACAACAGCGGCCGCTGGTGCCGGGGCCGGAGCAGGCGCGATGGCGGCGGCTCACAAGCCTTCCTCAAGGAGGGCTAGCGAGCCTTCCGAAACCGGCGAGAGGGGCTTTGTCCGAGTAGCCGGCAGGAAACTGCCTTCTGTTCTACAATCCGGAGGCGACGGTTACACAGACCCACGCGATGGCACCTCAGCCGCCGTGAACGACGACGAATCAGTCTACTTCCGGGACTCCCAAGCCTTTTTCGACCCCAACGTCCAAACAACACGCCTCGCGCTCGGCTCGCCCATGAGACCAGTAAGCGGTGTCGTGGTCTTCAAAGAATCGCCGGCCCGAACGCCAGTTACCGAATCGGCGCCGTTTCCGCCTCCGGCAGCCTCGCCGCAGTCAAATCCACCGTTCGTCCCGTTACAGCCCCCCGGTCGGGACCCAATTGGTCGGACCTTACCTTCGCAGGACGGCTCTCGGGGCTCTCGGGGTTCGGCTTCTAGGTTTCACGAAGACATGTGAATTCACCTCCTTTTGTTCACCCTTTTCTTCCCTTCTTCTTTTTCATTCCCAGCTCGGCCAATGCCGAGCTCAAGGGCAACGCCGGGACACCAACAACGTACCTTGAAGCGTATTGTACATTCTTACCAATCTTTCAAACGATAATTACTAGTACCTATTTGGGGGTTTGGGTGGTTGGAGGGTGGTTTACAACTGTTTTTTTTTTTTTTTTTTTTTTTTGCTGTGCCATCTTTGCGGACTCTACGACGGCATATGGATTGGCGTTGAGAGAGTTTCTGGCACGTCTGATATGAGCCCTTTTGCGTTCCGGTCGTGCGGAAGCGGAGGTGGGATCCATGGAGAAGGAGGCGATATGGATTCAAAAAAATATTTTTATTTTATTTTATTTTTTAACAAGCATGCATGCGTGCGCCGGCTTCGGACCGCAATAGCATTGGCACCCGCAGTTGAGGCGAGCGTTTGGCTTGCTTGGATGTAGATAAGATTTTCTTCAGTTTCGCCTCAAGACACGAGAGAGAGAGAGAGAGAGAGAGAGAGAGAGAGAGAGAGGTCAGAGACGGACCAAAGGGGGTAGAGGAGAAGGGCAATATTAGATTTTTACCTTTTTTCCTGGCCACGGCCATGAAGGGGGAGAAAAAGAAAAGATGAAGTCTATCCGACCTCTTTTGCCCAATGATTATTTCTGCTCCCTTCCTACCTGCCTTATGCGTACACGTATAAACCACATGCGTGGAAAAGGCGTGCCATCTTTCCGCGTATGGAAGCTCCTTTCCAAGTCCCATGTGACGAGAACTCTATCTCACTCGAGCTTTCTACCGCTGTGGGATCCACTTGCGATGATGAACGTGTCGTGTATCTTGTATCCGCATGTGTGCCCGTCCGATCATCCCCTGGAGGGAATCAAATGTAGCAAGACCGGGGGTAAAGGTGACCGGAAGCGCGGCTATGTTGATGGTGGGACGGTCTTGGGAATGCGTGAGGTGAGTATGAGTAAGGTAAGTATTCATACTCCGTAAAGCAAGATCTTTTTCGTTCCTCGGGCTGCCTCCTCGTGTCTCTTAGCGGGGAGCTCGTACGATTCGCACGAGAACTTAGCAAACGTGGACCCTGAGTTCATGGGACACTCTTCCCGAGGCGGAGTATGAATTTTGGGGAAGAAGAAGACGGGAAGTTGTTACCTTCCATGGTGGAGTCGCATTTCTTTGGTGAACCATCTTGAGACATGTATGAAACGGTGGGAACCAGACAAGAAAATGGTCGTGTCGAGCTTCTTCTTTTTTCTTCAGCAACCACCTCAATCCACCCCCGCCGTCCCAGAATTCTGGGGCCGGTAACCTTGTGTCCCGCTTGGGCCGCGCCTTAACCATGACAAATTCATCTTCATTTGTTCTGGCAGAGAAAGCTACTGGTCTTTCTCTTTGCAGCGTCTTACACGATCCCGATTGGGTAGGCACTTGCAGTGGACTGTTGCTTCCTGTAAGGCGGGTGTCTCATCCAACAGGTGTTTATTCAGTGTTTACCATCTCATCCCATCCTATTCCCCGGTACCGTCATCTACAACACGGGATGAAACATCTTTTTTTGGGCAGTTGGTCTCGATGGAGGAACAGATGGGCGTCGTGTGTGTGAAAGCGTCTTCCATATGACTGCACTCCCGAGGCCGCTCATGACTACACGAGTTGTTGCGAAAACCTCGAGGTTAGCGTCGTAGTGTCGTTGAGCGTCGAGCCTCATCTGCCCATTGTCATCTTGCGATACCTCTCGTATAACATGGTCGTGGCTTCGGCTGCTTCAGTGCTTCATACACGGGTGCAAGTCAGCATACGCCTCCATCAGGCCAGAGCTCCCTGCTCCATACATTAGGAGCCTCGCATAATACCCGAGCTTCAAGTAGGAACCCTCATTCGACGGTTTGAGCCCACATCCCTTCCGGTCTCGAAGTCTCCACTTCTTCTAACCCTGCGGCATCTTCAACCGTCCGAAGGTGTCGAGACCAGTATGAACCACCCACGGCATCGATGGCACCTGCTTTCCGTACACAGGCCCCGGATGGTTGTTCAATAAGGACTCTAGTATGGTTGCGGACCTCGGCGCAACACATTGCAGCGGCGGCGTAACCTGAGGCGATGAAGAGCGAGGCGCGAGGCGATGGCACGAGATCTTGCCGGGTTGACGCGGGAATTCCAGTACGATTTTGGTCTTGGGCTTTGGTCTGTCTCGTAGCATCGTCGCCATAGAAAAACACGCGGTCTCCAACCACAAAGGCCATGCCCCATATGCGTAGAGCGTTTCCCCATCCTTCCATGTCTGGGATGGAATATCATGGAGTCATTGAAAATGGATCATGAGATATCTGCACCGGCTTGCTCGGATCAAACAGCTGAGCCCCCCGCCTCCCGCGCGCGCACTCCACCCGGCCGTCTGAATGCAAGCCTCGCCGAGCTGGTTGGACATGCAAAGAGGCCTCACTTTCCGACAGTCAGAGCAGTTGTGAATAAGCTGTTACCATAGCTCTAGACAGGCCCCGATAATGGTAAAGCCATTATCGATTAGGGGGGTGGGGGCTCCGTCAATGCCTGCGAGCGGTACCGCGAACTGGAGATAACTCCGTGTCGAGCCCAGGCCCGGCACGCCATTTGCGCATGCAAGTGATTCTCCATACTCGACGCCTGACGGGAGTTTCCCTCGTTGCGGTTGGCTAGCGTCTGTGACTGCGAGTGAGTAAGACATAAGAGAGAGAGGGACAGAAGGTTCTGCGCTTGTGCCTGTCACATCAAGCAAACCCTTGTTCCTGGGCTGATTCCGAGCTAGTCTAGCCGTCAGGACTGAAGAGAGGTGTCCGAGCCACGAGAAGATTCATCTTCCCATCAGAGGATTTAAAGGTTTCTTGGGAGCATGGCCCCCCAGACATTGACGGATACCGAGCTACTTTCCTGATTGAAGTACAGGGACGAGTAAAGTTTGTGATGCCGTTGGTAAGTATCCGTCCCGTGTCCATCCTTCTTCTCTTCTTCTTCCCTTTTCCCGCTTCGATGGCGCCTTCACCTTGGTTGCGGAGGTGAAGCTCGAAGTTGGAGAAGTGGACGTCTTCGGACGCTCGGGACGTGGAGTAGCCCAGCTTGTAAGAGGAGTGAAGACCCAGGGGAGGGAGATTGATTAAGGTATCCGTACATGCACTGCAGATGGCGCCGCACGGGCGGTGGATGGGGCCTGTCAAGCCGATTCAGCCAATGTGATTCGTCGCGAGAGTGTTCCTCGCACATGGTGCCGCGCCAGGGGTCGCAGAGTGACAGAGAGAACGACCGGGGGAGGTCTGCGAATGCTGGGTATTGCCGTGTAGGGGTAGTCGAGAGCTGAGACAAAAGAACAATTCCGATATCAAAAGGGTTAGAAGTTGGGGGGGGGTTTAGGCCGGTAAAGTGGGATGGGAGTGGAGGGGGAGGGACCTACATGACGGTGAAGTGATGAACGGTGGAAGCCAAGACGCGGGAGACGAAGTCCGCCACGGAAGACCAGGCGCTCTCCTCATATGGTCAGTGGCGTCCACAAGTTGGAAGTTGGAACCGACCAGGCGGAAAACCTGAAAGTCAAATTCGTGAGGGAGTAGACGCCCATCTTGGCGTCGCGGCTCGTGAGGGACGTGTCTCCTGGCATCCCTCGTACCGCGGGACGGATCTAAGATGCATGATCTTGCGCTGCCTCTTTCCTGACAGCTGTACCTAGCTTTGCAGCGTCGATCAAAGTGCCGAGTCATGATCCGTGAGGCGTCAGACAGTATGTTCCAGTGGCCAACAGGCACGGTAGACGAGCGAATTGGCGTTGAAGTTGGGATGAGAGGGCCGTTGACTGGTGAGGAGAAGCAACTCTATACCACCACCATTACCGGTGCATTGTGGTGGTGGTGGTGGTGGCTTTCAAGATGTTCCAATGGCAGATGAGGTAGCCGAAGGCAGCAAACTGAAATAGAAAAGCGACGTTTGGAGGAGTCGAAGAAACGTGGCAGAATAATAGAGAGGCGCGGGTTATTACACGAGATGCAGTTGGGTGTGATGTGCCCTCTTTCATTCCTACGAGACACTGCCATATTCGGTTCATGAGTAAGGTACGTATTGCCTTACACCGTACTTTGGGTATCCGTACCTACATTGATCTGGCGAGGAAAGTAGCTCTCTCTCGCTTCCTGCCATTGTCATCCCTGTACCATTTCGTCCTCCGGACCGGCGGGCAAGAGCAGCAGCGAAAGTTGGGTTTGTCCCTTCCCGAATCACCTCCCCGTCTGCCTCCAATGACCTCTTGGTGATATTCTCCGTCTACTACCTTACGGTAGGTCTGGTATTCGTCTTTTAAGCACTTGGCGTAAAATACCTAGGTACCTATGATCGAAAGGCACACCTACCTACCTATACGGGAGGGGGGGTGGCCAGGGCAGAGGCCGTTCTTTCTGCTGGCTGGATATCGCTTAATTGGGTAGTGGCCTCCCGAATAGATACCGCTCCGTGTACATAATGCAGTGTTTATGTTGACTTAACGGCAAGTGCGCCCCTTCCTCTTATATCTCAGTCCACTATGTTAGCAGAGCAGCCTTCCTAGAATAGAGCAGCAACTCCAGCAGAGACTTCAGAGCCTAGGAGATTCAGGACATTATTCAGAAAAATCAAAGAGTAAAAAAAGCGTCCTTTTACATACGTAAGGGCCGCTCTCAAGACGAAGGGTTACGCAGCCAGCCTAACGACCCTTTAGGGACATACCCCCCCTAAACAGCAGTAGAATAGACCTCTGTCGAGAGCACCCCCCTCCCGGGTAGGTAGGGAAAAGGTAAGGTAGGTACGGATGCCGTGGTTCCTTACAGCTGGGGGATATGGGAGAGCACCGCGGGCAGCGAAACAAGACCAGTGGCCCCCCTCCCCCCTCCCCCCTCCCCCTCCTCCCCCCCGGTCAAGCTATGCCCCGCTGACCAATGCCACTGCAAGCACACTGACGGACGAGTCTGCAAGTTTGCAACTCTGTAACGCCGTTTGCCCCCCCTTCCCCAAGCCGTGGAAAAGCCCACCAGGAGGTGACGACTTGTGTGATACCAATACTGCCCAGCTCAGCTCTTCCATTCTCTTTTGTTCATCGTCCTTCCGTCCCATCATTTGACCGTCAATTTTTCTTCTTTCTTTCCCCCTTTTTCCCCTCTTCCTAACGAGCCGTCC